CTTACTTTAAGTACTTCTATACCACAGCAAAAACTACTAGCTTAACTAATAAAGTTAGTAGTAAAACAAGAACAATTACACAAATTACAAGCATAGATGAAAACAACAAAACACAGTTACAAAGTAACAGTAGCATTCAGGTGCAGTGCAATGTAATAATTAAGTGTAAAAAAACACAATAGTGCTCACTGCACAAGTTAAATACAGATTAATCTTTGTTAGAGCTGTGGTGTTATTTGATTAGCAGACAGAAACAGGTATTTACTTTAAGACCAAATGCACGGACCTAATACTGACACATATAATTTTTTTTTCCTCAGCTGCTTACGTTCACTTAAGACACAACCGACTGTGTTTACTAGAATACTTGCCAAAACGGGTATTTTAACATAACTTTGTGTGTATGTGAAAGAGGAATCAATTCGCTGTTCACGCGGTGTCTCTCGTTCTCTCTGTGTGCGCGCGCTTCGGGTGTGTGCGGCAGTGGCTGAGCGCACAGAAGACTTGCTTAAAATTGCTTGAATGTGTAAACTGGCAAGACAAAACTTGCAAATGATAAACGTTAACTCTATGATGGTTAAACTTAACAGTTAATCCGCGAATCGCATGCGTGCTGAACCGTGCAGCCTGATCCATACGGATCACGGATCATCTACGATCCGTTACACCCCTAGAAGACATGACAGACAAACAACTGTAAGGGCAACTAAGCAGAATGCGACATTTGACGCTAATCTGACACCTCTTCATTTCACATACTTTCTGAGTGTCTGGATCTATCAGCCAGTTCCAGGCTCCTGTGGCTGTGCACACAGACACCACGATCAGAATCACTGCAAAAAGAAGACAGAAGTCATGAATTAAAATGAGGCAAGGTAAGGCACAATATACTTAATTTCAGTCCTTGTTGATGAATATGTTATGGACACTTGGAAATCATGTACAGATCTTGGCTCAGACCAGACACATAGTCCAGGTTTTAAACTGCTTGAAAGCGATTCAATAAAGTTTAGACCAGACAAGCTGGACTGACTTACTGCGCCAACGACCTGTAGCCGGCTGCAAACAAGACACATACTCTGTCAGTCTCCTCTCAAAAGCCTTCAGGTCTGTGGAGGAACAACACAACTATATCAGCACAGGACTGACAGTGAGGTAAGCAACATCTATTTTCTAATTTGAACACATTTTTAAAGTTACAGTGACAAAGAATTCAGCCACAGTTAAAGGACATGTTAAAAGACAGATTTGTATCATTACAATGTTGGTAGTACATATAAATGAACAATGTGTATTTTTCCCCCATGTGACCTGTACCCAGATCTCCCAATTTATTTAGCAACTAAAGTGATTTTCTGACATCTGCAGGGCTTTTATTAAAGGGGTCATATGATGTTGCTAAAAAGAACATTATTTTGTGTATTTGGTGTAATGAAATGTGTTTATGCGGTTTAAGGTTAAAAAACACATTTTCCACATACTGTACATTATTGTTTCTCCTCTATGTCCCGCCTTTCTGAAACGCGTCGATTTTTACAAAGCTCATCGGTCTGAAAAGCGAGGTGTTCTCTGATTGGCCAGCTATCCAATGCGTTGTGATTAGCCGAATACCTCAAGCGTGTGACGGAAAGGTTACGCCCCTTGCCATACTGTGATGCCGTGTCACGGATGGAGCGACGAGACAAAAACATTAAAACCCATTATAAACGAGGCATTTGTTGCATCCAGTGGGGACATCATTACTGATTATAATGACTTATACTGTCTTTTTACGCGTTGCATATCGCACCGTGTAAACATAAAACCATATCTGCATTTGTGACCGGAGAACAACAACAACAAACAACAAGCACTACTCTACACTGCTCAAAACTCGCGTTTGAATCGTCAGTGGCAAATTCTTTAAAGGGGTCATATGATGCTTTTTTAAAGATAATTATTTTGTGTATTTGGTGTAACAGAATATGTTGACATGCTTTAATGTTCAAAAAACACATTATTTTTCAAATACTGTACATTATTGTAGGTCCTCTATGCCCCGCCTCTCTCAAACGCGTTGTTTTCTACAAAGTCCCTCCTTCCGACAAGCGCAGTCTGCTCTGATTGGCCAGCTGACCCAGTGCATTGTGATTGGCCGAACTCCGCAAGCACTCGTCGGAAATGTAACGCCCCTTACCATAATCGCAGCTTCAGCTTTCAAAATAAATGTAAAGACAGAGCCCGAGAGGGGAACAGAGTCTGCTGACAGACACAGTGATGAATATGTGTTTGCATATGTATATTTGGGTGTTTGCGGTTAAGACAGCTGACTCCACTGTGATGTGTGTCTCTCTCTCTAATTTAAGAGTGCTTTATTGGCATGACAAAAATTATACATTTGTATTGCCAAAGCAATTGCAGCTGGACTGCTTACAAATAGTACACATGTTGCTCAAAACTGCTTAAGAGTCCTCTGGCCACGAGCGATGACATCGTGGATGCTATTGTCGGACCTACACACACATTTCACGAGGAAAGTTAACCTGCACGTTATAATCAGCCCAGAAGTTTCGTCTGAATTGCATGCGTTTCTACTTTCACATGCAAATGACTGGTTGCTCTTATGAATATGATAATTTTCCGGCATCAATTCTAGTAGGTTTTCGCTTTCGAAGCGGTCTGTTTTGCCCTGCCATCATTAGCTGAAGCTGTGTGTGAACAAGAAGCGGCTGCAGACAGTGTGAGTTGCTCTGAGAGCCAGAGAGAGATTCTCCTGCATTCCACAACAACGCTTGGCTGCCCGCAGATGCGCCTGCCTATAAATCGGCCCAATTTGCAGCACAATCGGCCGATGCCGATTAATTAAAAAATGCCAAAAATCGGACCTCTAGTAGAAACAACGCTCCCAGGATCAGGAAACAGTCCTCCATAAAATGCACTGCACACATCTGAATATTTGGGTTGAACTGTTCTGGAAAAGTGTTGTAAATACAACTTAACCACTGATTTCTAGTCGTGTCCTCTTTTGGAAGACCAAACAAAGTAGTTTCGCTTTCACAACGAAACACACAGCGTCTTCACGACATGGCAGCGGCGGCAACAATACTACAGCGAGAATAAAAGTTACTCCTCCTTTCTTTGCGTGAACATTTGGGTGGCGTTATGCAAATCTTCCCACATCGTGACGTAGACATGTGGGGGCGTGTTGGAACGAGCCGTTTTAGGAGGGTGTGGCCCAGTCTTTGTATTCCCGACCATGGACAGTCGGATTGAGCCCAAAGCTTTAAGGGTGTTGGAGTTTTCTTACCTTTGTAACAAAAGAGAACGCAAAGTTTTCTTTAATCATGTAACACCTCTTTTAAAAACATTTGCCCTTCTACTGTATAGACAGCCAAGTTCTATTAAGAGACCATATTGTCAGCGGTGAATTACCCCTTTAAGACACTTGATTGCTATGTTTCACATCACTCTGAAAAATGCGTAAAGAAGAAAAGCTAAATACATAGATGGGATAAATACACTGATTTCAGACTGAGCTCATAAGGTGAGAAATATCAACTGTACAAGGCATATAAATGCACTGGCAGCTTTATAGCTTTTACATTTTTTGGGGGAAAATGTACACTATTTTGCATGTAACTTATATGTCAGTGTGTCAGCTATGATGGCATTATGATTGGCCAACACGATGTTCAATAGCCAAGACGCGGCTTTACAATGACAGAAAAGCTGCACTCCTGGTTGAGGCATCAGACTTTCGAGATTTCGTTTCACATACTTACGTTCATGATGTTGCTGCAGTGCATGTCAGCAAAATAAACAACGCTTTTAACAGCTGAAGGGTATCAGAATCTTAGCTTAGATGCTAGCAGCCCAGTGACAACACTATAAGTTATATATCTAACTTGCCATAAACACATAGACGCTCCGCTAATATTTGAATACGACACTTGGAGATGAGTACACTAAACTGATAATCGATCAATTGAAAAAAATACCTTCGGCTTGTTCTAACGAATGCATTGCTCTTCCCCCAAGTGCTGTAGTCGCTCAGCTCAGGCCTGCAAACACACGCCACTGCCGTCAGCGTGCGCCAGCCAATCGCGGAAGCTCTCTTCTCATTGGCTCCTAGAGAGGAGGGCGTCATCTTAAAGAAACATATTAAGATAAATAACATTCTTTGCTAACAAATTGAAATGAGGTGAATGTTTTCAACAAGGTGGACACAGTTCTGTTCATAACAGTAGACCTGCTGGTGAAGAAGTGACAGGCACCTTTTTTATGTAATGGCCATACAAATAATAGGGTTGTCTGGTTTCAAAATTTGTTGTGGATGTATAGGCTATATACAGGAAATAAGGGGCCAAAATTGCACCTTTTGGGGTACAACAGCTTGTCACTGGAACAGTACCCTTAAAATGACATATTTGTTCCTTTTTTACCCCTAGGCCTACAAATTATTACCTTAAGGGTACGAATTACTAGTCTTAAGGTACTAATATGTACGGTGTACTGCTACGGTGTCAAGCTGTTGTACCCCAAAAGGTACCATTTTGGCCCCTTTTTTTTCTGTGTGGCCTGGATGAGTGTGAGTTTTCCCGGCCTGAAATTGCGTCCTTTCGCCCTGCCTCTATCTCACAGTCTGGAATTTCCTTCGTGTCCACCAAGTCTTTGAATGTGACTGTGGGCGTCTGAAGGGAGCAAATGGATTTGAGCATGAACAGAGAGTCTAGACTAGTCTGCAAGCAATCTGATGTCTCCCAGAAACGATCTGCATAACGGGGTGTTAATGTGAAGGAGTATAATGTTTTGGTGAGCCGTTTGTCAATGAGGCTGGAACTAGCAAAGGCCTTATCTTGGACCAATTGCGTCCTTCCTGTCTTCTCCAAAACCCACTTCATACTGTTATTTATGAGGCGGAATACGCCTGGAGGCTGTGGCTGGTCCCTGAGATCAACTCTGAGGGATTCCAGATTTGTTGTGACACTCCAAAGCTCACATCTGCAATGTACTGCTTCCCATCAATCTCTACAAGATTCAAAATTAATTAAACATACTGGTAAAAAGAATGTACTGTACGTCGCTTTGGATAAAAGCGTCTGCTAAATGCATAAATTAATTATTAAAATAATGAGATGAGAATCCATGGGGAGAAACTCCTGTTCCAGTTGAACACTTTGGAGACTAACATGGTGAATTTCCTTCAGGACCCAAGAGAACAAGAGGTTGTTTTTACAACACCAGCCTCCCTGATTGCTCTTGACTATTTTATCATAGATGATGTTTAGGTCCATAGTGTTCTTCTCGCCAGAATGGATGCGGAGGTTCTCAAATGGAATATTCGTAACATGCAGCTTGTGGATGGTGAACAAATTGTCCAGCTCAGCTTTGTCATACTGGCCAATAAACCCAATCCTGTTCAAATACTCTTTTAGGTCCATTGTATCCCTACAAGCAACAATGTACATAGTTTTAACAGAAATTGTGTAGTAATTTTACATCATTATACTCTATATGAAATATATAATTTCAGGACTTACAATTTAATATAACATATTAGTTATTTTTAACCACAAAGTAAAACTATGAATGATAAATACAGGGCAAAATCCACAAAGCTGAACATTTCTGTGCGACTCAACACATGCACAGCATTAATTACTATTGCTCTTCAAATTGTTGTTTCACAGAATAGCCCTACTGGTCATGTATACTGAAAGCAATGCTTATCTGTTTGTTTCATTTGCTGACCATTACACAACATGCTTCTTGTCTTATGACTGTTGCTAAAAAATGACCCCTAATCTTTTGTGTAATATCTCTGCTAGATCTGACTAAGAATATATAGTGTTTCTTTGATTTCTTGCTCTCTCTCCAGGCTACTACTTTGCGTAATGTCCCAATGTTAAATTCATCACAATATATAAACAGTTTATGTTTACTTCAAATCTTTTCATATTAATGTAGAACATAATATCATGCAAACCCATGATATCTAAATTTATATTAAGGCACTTATGGACACCTGCATCTTGGGTAGAAGTACAACAATACAAGGGCTAAAATCAGGAGACTTTTTTATTGGTTTACAGCGTCCTCAAGAGGTCAAATTGAGTTTATCTTTAAGAATCAGAATAATTTTTATTGGTTATATAAAAAAACGGCCTCAGCATGCATAAGTGTTAATGAACAATTTAGCTAATGCACTACAAATTACAAAGTATTATTACAAAGTATTGTAAAGTTAAAGTTAACTGTAAGATGTTTTTCATAAAATTCTCCAACGGCCAACTTGTTTGCTGGTGTTTGTCTGTGTGGTGTGAATTGGCAGATGACACACACACACACACACACACACACACACACACACAGTATATTAGTATATAGTTACACACCATATACAGCAGTTTCAATTATTAATTATTGGCAGTATCATCCTCCTAATTAATCAACTCATTTCGCTTTTTCAGCAGTTTGGTTTTCTTTGTATTGATAATGGCTGTCCGAAACACATACAAGCACGAATCAAAGTATATGGAGTGAAAAGAACTCATAGGACAGTTTATCTTGAGACCATCTTTATCATTCTGTTATACTGAAGAAAAGCAGAGAGAGTGAACGAGAGTTTCACATGATTTGGTCAGTAGACACAGAGTTGTTGTTGTGGAAAAACATGCATCACTGAGCAAACTCCAAGGCTTGTGGATCTGAAACACTTGTTGCTTGAATTAGGAGACAAACATGCTTTATCACGAGTTAGCCACAAAAAGAAAGGAGGATTTATCTTTTTCCTGTGTTCTGTGCACGGAAAAATTAGAAGTTTTAAGTCACGCAAGGTATTTTCTATTTTCTGTTTAATTTTCTCTCTTTGATATAGGATCTGCTCCTGGCTTGTATGCAATTAATAATCAATATGATGATGATACATTGCTAATGTTTGATAATGAGCATGTTAAGTACTTGTTTTGAGAATTTCCGAGTATATGTGGGCTATATATATTAATATTTACATTTACATGATATTTCACCTTATATAAAACTTCCAATTAACAACACAAATGTCCATACATAATATGTATTTACAAACACAGGCTATGGACTGCCAACCCAGTCAACAATTTGATTTCACAATGATGTCACCATGAGCTCACATGATTCTCATGGTGTGGTCACAATGTGTGTGTCACAGTGAGCTAAAAGTGTAACCACACAGCGCACTCACTGTGTGCTCAT